ACTTTTGTCACAGACCGATTTCTAATATAAGCAGCAGTATTAATGGCCTCTGCCCACAAATTTTTTGGTAAGACATTTGAATTCAAAAGACACCTTACCATCTCCATAAGTGTTCTATTGATACGTTCCGCAACACCATTTTGTTGAGGAGTACAACTTACTGTGGTTTCGTGCACAATACCATGTTTATTGAGCAATTCATTAAAATCTTTATTTACAAATTCTAAGCCATTATCGGTGCGTAAACGGATAATATGTTAGCATGAATTTTTGGAGCATGCAAAACATTTTGCAGCTTAAACGTTGTATTTTGTGTAGTTATGCGAATATCACCAATCCCTTCTACACTCACATGATGCTAAAATTATATTTTGCGATGATCGAGTTATATTTAAAAAATGTTCGCTGTTGTTGCTTATATGTGTAGAAGCTCCGCTATCCAAATCCAACTTGAAAATTGTGGTTTTTGTTGGTTATTTACTAAACTTAGCGCAACAGGTTCTTTGTTATTATTTTAAAAAAAACAATCAGCTTGAATATGGCCTCTTTTTCCGCACTTGTAGCATTTTACCTTATTTTTTTGTTTAACATCACGAGTGAAATATTTATTAGAATTCGCAGTAAATACTCTATCGCCAGTATCTTGATCGCTCCTTCTTATTTCGTCTTCTAATAATCTCGGCTTTAAATTATCCAAGTCGGGCAATATATCTCTGCTTTCTATTGCAACTGCAAAGTTTTCCATATTGCTTGAAAGACTGCATAATAGTAAGATAGATAGTAATTCCTTTTCAAGATGAACACCTATCGCTGTTAATGAATCCGCAATGTTACAAAATCCATTTAACTGCGGTAAATATTTTTCCGAGCTGCTGAAGTTAAATTTGAATAGTCTTTTTAATAAGGAGACTTTTCTTGCGGCTCCACTCGCATTATACATGTTTCGTAAGGCCTTCCATGCCTCAAATGCCGTTTTACAGTTTTTTATGTGTAACAGTTCTGAACTTTGTATACCTAAATTGATATAAGCAAGAGCTTAGCGTCATTTCTTTCTCAGTCTTTAACACTGTTATCTTTTGGTGTACTTGTTACATCCCATAAATCCTGCCTTATTAATAAGCTCCCCATTTGAATGGACAATGAACCATTATTGTCCCCTTTAAGCTTCTTTACTGCCAAGTGTTTCATTATTGATTTTAGTATTATCAATTCACTTTACCAATCACCTTTCTAATAGTGTTTACAATGATCAATGCATGTTATTCAAGTTTAACTAATTACATTCTCAATTCTAGATAAAATAAACGCGTTTACAATGATCCATATATGTGGTTCAAGTTTATTTAACTACATTTTTAATTATATAGAAGTAATATTGATATAAAATAAATAGTGTTTATAGTGATCAATATATATTATTCAAGTTTATTTAATTACATATCAAATTATATAGAAATAATATTTATATAAAATAAGTAGCGTTTACAGTGATCGATATATGCTATTCAAGTTTAACTAATTACATTCCAACTTTTATATAAAATAAATAGTGTTTACAATGATCAATATATGTTATTCAAGTTTAACTAATTACATTTCCAACTTTTGATAAAATAAATAGCGTCTACAATGATCCATATATGTGGTTCAGGTTTATTTAATTACATTTAAAATTATACAGAAGTAATATTGATATAAAATAAATAGTGTTTATAGTGATCAATATATGTTATTCAAGTTTATTCCAAAGTTTATATAAAATGAATAGTGTTTACAGGATACAATATTTATAGAGCATAATTTTATACGTAGCTTATCACAGCATTTTCAACTAACGCGGATTAAACTGTCGGCGCAGGAATATGGATTTGTCACTATGATTCCCCAGCGCACGGAATTTATTGCAGCACACGTTGTTTATTTAATTTCACAAGGTTTTATTTCATATCTATGCGTCTCTGCATAACACACAACATACTTAGTGTTTCTTAGAAAGAAAAATATATACTTATATATATATATATAGGATTCCTTTTTATTAGAATCAAAACTAATTAATTAAATTACAAAAAAAATATATATAAATGAAAAAAACTGTTTGTTCTTCCGCACACACGTCATTACTTCACACGTCTTCTTTCTGCACTGCCACTCTACGTTTGTTTCTTCTTTTTTACTTCCTTATGCTCGTGTGCTGGCGTTGCCAGATCTGCGTCCCACAATCGGCCATCCTGCGATTCGTTCGACCCGAATGAAGTGTCATTGTCAGCAACTGCCCAAGGCTTCATATACTCTGCGCAACTGCTAGTCCGCTTTGACCCTTCGCTTTTTCCGATTTTTATAACATCATACGTATCGTCTGATTTAACTCTCTCGACCTCGTAAGGTCCTAAGTATTTTGGTTTTAGCTTCAGTCCTCCCGAAAACTGCGTCCTTTTGATTGCGACTACGTCGCCTACTTTGTACTTTACGGCTGGCCTGCGTCTTTGGTTATATGCATTCTTATTTTCTAACTGGATTTTCAGTATTTGTTGCTTTGCGCGTTGCCTCATTTCTTCTCGGTCTTCATTAAAAATCGTTGTAATTTCCTCTTCGATAATTTTTTTGATCTGAATATCTTCCTTTGTTTGCATTTTAGCACCAATTAATAATTCAAAAGGCGTCGTTCCAGTACTTCTGCAATACGTGGAGTTTATTATCTGCTGCACTTTGTCAACATTTTTATACCATTTAGTTGGATCTGCCATGCTTAATTTTGCCAAAACTGGTGCAATTATGCTATTCAATCTTTCGACTTGTCCGTTGGCCCTGGCTAAGCCCGTAGTAATTTTGATGTGTTTAATACTTTCACCCTCGCAATACTTACGAAAATCATCTGAAGAGAAAGCAGCACCTCGGTCTGATATTATTTGATTAGGATTACCAAAAACTATGCTTTGCGTACGCAATCGGGATATAGCCTCGTTAGCTGATGTGGTTCGAGTTGGATATATCCAACAGAATTTAGTAAAAGAGTCAATAACGACAAAGATATGCTTATATTGTTTGTTCGTTGATTCTAATGGTCCCAAAAAATCAACATGGTACGTGTGTAATGGTATACTTTCTTTAATCAATGAGTGTAGTTCGCCTTCTTGCTTACCCTGCTTCCGATTCACAACGATACATGGAATACAATTCATAATGTGTTTTTGTATTTTTTCTTCCAATTGAGGTATAAAATAGTCATTTCGGAGTAGTTCACTTGTTTTTTTTACGGCAAAATGTCCCTTTTCATGTGCATGTCTAATTATTTCACGCTGCATACTCTTAGGTACAACAATAAGTTCTTGGTCATTTCTCAGCTTATACAACAACTCTCCTTTCTTAAAATAATCGTTGTATGAAGATTTTTCTTGTAGAATATCCGATATCGTTTTCAGGTTTTCGTCTTGCATCTGTGCTCTCCGTATTTTAGAAAGAATATTATCTTCATCTATGCACATAACGGCGTAGCGGCTTAAAGCATCAACATGCTTCATTCGCGAACCAACACGATGCTGAACTTCGTAATCGTACTCCTCTAAGAACAATATCCAACGGGCTACTCTCGTGCACAAGTCTTTCTTTCCCAATGTCATCGCAAATGCGTTACAATCAGTAACGAGCTTAAAATGCATACCCAGAATGTATACTCTAAACTTTTTGAAAGCTTCAATAACAGCCAATATTTCTAGTTCGTAACTTGTATATTTTCTTTGTGCGTCAGTGGTTTTTTTACTCATATAATACACAGGATGCCATTGTTCGTCGTCTGGTGATTTTTGCAATAAAACGGCTCCATATCCTTCTATCGAAGCATCTGTATGCACTTCCGTTTCAGATTTTTGATTAAAAATGTTTAGTACCGGTTTTTCGCTTAAGATGGTCTTCAACGTATTAAATGCAGTAATCTGTTCATCTTTTATTTCAAATTTCACATTTTGTTTCCTTAAATCTGTTAAAGGCTTGGCAATTAGCGAGAATTTAGGTATGAATTTTCTAAAATAACTCGCCAACCCAAGAAAACTTTCCAATTGTTTTAATGTTTGCGGCAATTTGTATTTGCGTAGAGCTTCAACCTTAACTTCTGACGGTGATATTTTTTGATCTTGTATTGTGTGCCCTAGAAATTCCACTTTTCTCATTAGAAACTTGCATCTCTCCGTGAACGGTAATCTACGCGGCCTGGAATAAATGGGTGTTTCGTCTTTGAGCACTATGTACATCGCCACTTGTGTTGTTTTACATTGATTCGGCTGATAATTTATGATCATTTCACGTACCTGTCGTCTCGCATTCTCACTAGCGGTTTTGTCGATATCAATCGTTTTGTTGTCATTTACTAAGTCAATTTTCATTATTTTAGCTTCTTCGTCTATGGGATCGTCTTCGTCGAGGATTTTACGAACGTTTATACCATCACGATTAAATAAAATTTCAGCGTATAAGCATAGTTCTTCGCCAATGATCACTTGTAAGTCCATGCACCGAATTGGAACGACATAAAAATCTAATATGAACTCATTATCGTCAATTTTAATTAAGTTTTTAAAATGTCCAATTGGTTTAATCCTATTTGAATTGCGATCACTACCGAAACCAATTAAACATACGTTACATTTTTCTAAGATAGGCTTATTCAACTTGTTGTATAAGTCTTCGCGAATTATATTAAATTTACTGCCTGTATCGAATAGGGCTGCGCACTGTAAATTGCCAATAAAAATGGATTTGGTAGTTAAATTGTTTTTTTGCTGTAAACTGCGCGTATTTATTTTGTTTTCGGCTTGTTCACAGTTTTTAGAAATATGTCCGTACTGGTTGCACTTAAAGCATTTAGTACCTCGATTTTTATTTTTGCAATTCATGGACAAATGTCCCTTTTCACCACAATTGTAGCATTTCACTTCTGTTTTATTTGTTGAGAAACTTTTCTTTTCGCTTTGTTTAAAATCGTTAACTTGCTTACTTTTTTCACACATTGTTTCATATGATCTTAATTTGTCTTTAAATTCATTAAGGTTCTTTGCACCATATAGTATCATTTTATTTACATAACCGTCTCTAATTCCATCTATTATATACTGAATCAGCGCTTCGTCTTCGATATTGCCGCGAGATGCGATATCTTTCATTTGATAAAAATATTCAAACACATTTTCATCTTTTTTTATTTTGCGAGCACTAAGTTGCTTATGCAATTGTGCGCTATTTGTTGTTGTTCGAAACTCATTTAACAGGGCGTGTTTTAAAGCACACCACGAATTTAAACCTCTTTCACTCAAAATAAAAAGTTTAGCAATGCCTCTAAGAGATTTTTTTGCAAACACTAGTTTTTGAAACCCATCCCAACACATCAGTGCAGCTTGTTCCTCGAATTCTTCAATCCACCTTTCTACCGAAATGATATTTGTGCCATCAAATGGTCTAATTGAGTCCTCTATATCGCGAAAGTTCATTGCAAATTTTGGTGCTTCTCTTTGTAAAAATTTTGTACGTGTGTACGCTGCTGCTTTATTATTATCATCCACTTCAAACATTTTATTGCCATTATCGTCACGAGATTTTTTAAACTCGCGTTCATTGCCTCTGAAAGTGCGTTTACTGTCAACGTCATCATCGACTTCTTCATCTCCTTCTTCGTCATCATCATCATCGACTTTCTCATCTCCTTCTTCGTCATTACATTCATCGTCGTTTGCGTTTTCGGCCAACAAAAAATTTTTACGTAGATTTCGAAATATGTGCAGTTGTACATCTTTAACACAATAACTTATATTTAGTACAATACAAATTGAAACCAAATCACGTTCAGTCAAATTATTTTTAATATATTCGCATTTGCTTGCATACGCCTTGTCATTTTCGTCGTAATCGAATCCAGAAAATTCTCTCAATCTCTTTCGATTATTTCTATCACCTTCTTCTTGGTATATAAATTTATGCAACGCTATTATTATGTTTTTGCTGCTACTGCGCAGGCTGCTGCTTACGAAGTCATTTAAGCAAGTCATTGTGTAGACTGAATTTCACAATTGCCGGAAATTCAAATCCCTGTTGAGCCCCCAATTTGTAGGATTCCTTTTTATTAGAATCAAAACTAATTAATTAAATTACAAAAAAAATATATATAAATGAAAAAAACTGTTTGTTCTTCCGCACACACGTCATTACTTCACACGTCTTCTTTCTGCACTGCCACTCTACGTTTGTTTCTTCTTTTTTACTTCCTTATGCTCGTGTGCTGGCGTTGCCAGATCTGCGTCCCACATATATATATATATATACAAGCTTACCAGTATTTTGTTTCTTTTGCCTAGTTACCCAATTACTTCTTAGTGTAGACACCTTGGTATTTCATCTTCTTCTCGGATCCACACTAAAGCCACGTGCCAGATATTACCTTTAACCGAGATTTTAGAACCTCGCCTCTGAAGATATGTCTTGTCATTTGAAGGTTTTTAAGAGTACTTACGTTTCCTCTAAATGTTGACCATATTGTATGAAGATCTGTAGAAAGTGGTTCATCCCAAAATAATTTCAACTGCCATATGTGTTGTATGAAAATCTTCGCCTTCACTATTACTGGAGCTAATAAACCAAATGGATCGAGCAGTTTTGCTAAATCAGAACTTACGACTCTCTCCGTGATTATCCCTTCAGTAACCATTTTGACCTTTATTATCTTTATTAAATAAGTACTTAACGACTAAATTTACATGTGTTCACTTACTACTAGATGAGGTGAATATTTACAATAATAACGTTTCCTTATAAGTATTTTTAGATTAAGGTGATTGTATTTTTTTTCTTATTATTGTTAATAGTTATAATCATTAACAAAAAAAATAAAAAAAAATTACAATATTTTTTTTATATATAAATAATTAAATAAGATTTTTATTCTATACTAGAAAATAAATAAAAAAAATCGCAATTTATTTTTTTTTTATATAAATAATTCAATAAGTTTTTTTTTTTTATTTTATACTGTATAAAAAAATAATAAAAATATTTACAATATTTTTTTTATATTATATTTTGTTATATTTAACAAAAGTCATGTTTTTACAAATCTCAAGTCTATAATAATAACTAAAAAACTCGAGATTAACAATAAAAAAAAATAATAATGAAAATAAAAAAAATGTAAGTAATGTGAACCAAAAAATTAAGTAGACGAAAAGAAAGCAAATTACAAAGGCAAAATGCCTGTTAAACCAGCAAAATAAAAATAAAAGAGAACAATACCGATGGAAAAAAAATAAAAAATGAGGAAACATATAAATTTAATTAGATAACATTTTCTCTTGCAAGTTTATTAGCTTTAGTCGCTTACCTTACAGCCGCAGAAATGACGTCACTTATGTTGCTGTTGACCTAGCTGAAACTTTCAAATAATAATGGAAAGAAAAAAATATATATGTAGGGTGAAACAAATTTATGTGTTTTCTACCCTCTCTTAAATGTTTAAGATCGAGTGTTAAAGAGTTAGTTTCTTCTAAGACTACAAGTTTATGGGTACCAATAGTTGAACGAAAACCGGTTCCAACTTTGGTTTTTTTCTTCATTGTTGTTATTATTAATTCTGCTTTTACTGGAAGAATTGATGGAAGATGGTGTACTTGTAGAACGTAAGCTCGAATCAGAGAATGAGTTTATATTTTTGTTATTGCTATTTATGGTGTCTTTTCATTGCACTTTTGAAGTTGATGCTTTAACTGGATAGCTTGTAAAGAGAGTTGCAGTAATTGTATTATTTGAAAGGTTAGTAGGTTGCGGTGTCTTATTGATGCCATATGAAACCACTGAAGAGAAACTGTTGCTGGATATGTCGACTGAAGGTAGTGCCTTATATAGTTTTTCTGCTTCCCGCACTGTACATTTATTTTTTGTTTTGATTTTTAATATCTCTTTTTGTTGAATAAATTTTGTGCACTCTTTAGAAGAAGCTGGCTGCTGTTCTGAACAATTAGCACAATATGTACGCGAACAGTCAAAAGGGGCATGAGGAGGCAAACCACAATTTCCACAACCTGGAGCGTTTCGGCATCTTTTGGCAGTATGACCAAGAACCTGACACGATTTGCAGCGCATTGGGTTTGGTACATACTAACGCACATCAACGGAACTCCAAGAGATTTCAATTTTTTCGGGCAAATTAAATGTGTTAAAAGGTAGCAAAACCACTCCGCTTGGATGGGACTGGCCTTCGATCATTTTAAGGAACTTGTACGCCCAACAAGTGCGTATACAGTTCCTGTTGTTGTGTTCAATTGCTTATGAAGAAAACATTTGATTAGACAAATCATTAAGAGATATTTAGCTGATATAAACTTTTGAGCAGTAGCCATATCTATGACTAGCAACAACAGGTTACCATCTCTTAGTTCAGAAATCGATATAATGTGTAGAGCTTTTTGCACTGCAAAACAAGAGAACTCAGACAAAGGTTTTAGATCGTTGGTAGAGGCAACAACAACATATTTTGGATTAGGTAGTTGAATTGTTGAAAGCCCGGAAAAGTCTGTAACTGTTTTAGCATTCGGTCGATTTTTCTTCGATTGTGGACCATCTGCCAAGAGTGCAGATCTACTTCCCTCTATGTGGGGAGGACCAGGGGTCATGTTTGTAAAACGCACTACGTCTTATTTATGCAACTACCAATTTAATACAGATATGTAATAATACGTGTAAAGTATAAAAAGCTTAAGCGCGAGTTGAAAGAAAAAAATGTAATAAATAAGAAAAAATATAAGAAAAAAAAATCGTAAAGAAGAAAGAGCACATAAAAAACAAGTCTGATCACTATGAGTACAAGTTAAAGACTGAAAAAGAATTGAAATGATCTTTTTCTCTTTAACGATGTGTTATGTGCAAATGTTAGCAATTTTTATATTTTTTTCATATATTTTCATATACAACAAAAAAAAAATAATAACTTAATTATATATTTTTTTTTTATTAATAAATTTAGGAAAAATTACCCAAATCTGATCTTTATTATATTAACGTAAATTACTTTTATGGATTTTGCGTCCTTCTATTTGCACGGTTGTATATAGGTCTTGTTCCACTATTTTTTCTGTGAAAATTTGATTAAATTTAAATAAATTTAATAAATCCTTTTATTGCGTCTCAAATAGACTTTTTCACCTGTTTCATATTTTTTGGTTAATCTGTTTGCGTTAACTCTATTAAGAGATTTTTCTTGTGTTTTAATAAGATTATAATGATATAAATATTATATTATACATTATTAAATTGTATAGCAGGATTGCCATATAATGATAATATAATAAAAAAAATGTTTTTTTCTTTTATTATATTATTTAAAATTTTTAGAAGGGTTTTCGAATAACAAAGAAAGAAATAAAGGACAAACACAAAAATTTATTTTTTAATTTTATTGAAATTTGGCTGACCATACAACGCTGTTTCGAGTATTCCCAAGTACTCTTCATCAGTGGTCTTTGGGAATAATCGAATTTTATTTAATTAGTTTATAGTCCGTATATAATTTGTTTGGACTGCAAGTGCCAGGCTTAGAACTCGTGCCTGTCAAATTAGAAGCGATGACTAATCGTGTTTATCCACAAGAAGCCAAGGCTGCACAAACTTTCAATGCTATCGATTATTCCCAAAGACCACTGATGAAGAGTACTTGGCAATACTCGAAACTGCGTTGTATGGTCAGCCAAATTTCAATAAAATTAAAAAATAAATTTTTGTGTTTGTCCTTTATTTCTTTCTTTGTTATTCGAAAACCCTTCTAAAAATTTAATAAAGCTTCTTTGTCCCTATACAAAGTAAGTCTAGCTTAACAGCAACACTAATACTTTATTCAAATTATTTAAAATTTAATTCCTGGATTGCTTCAGGATCACAATTCTTTACGAAGTTATTAAATTTCTTCTTATTAGAATTAGCAGGAAGAAATCTGCTCATTAGTAGGCATCCGAGAATGCCGAGACAAAAATGAAAAATGAGATTTTGTGTAAGCTACTTGAGCTCAATTTCAAATCTGAATTTTATTAACAATTTTCCAAACTATTTATACAAAATATTTAACTATAATTTACAAATATTTTTCCTAATAATAATACCTAATTGCTGCGGCATTCAAAAGGTTGACCCACGTCAATGCTTAGAAAATATTATGACATATTCAAGTGTGTCATATCGACATGTGCAGAATAGTAGCACAGAAAAGAAAAGTGTCAAATAGGAATTGTATACTTGCTATGACCAAATATTCTACTTGCATTGCGGTGGTTCTTCCGTGTGCGATCGCATTACATATTACATTAGTTAATATAAAATAATTTGTGCATAAGCACTTTCAAAAATTCATAAAATAATTTATTGTTTGTTTTTGTTTACATTGGTTGCGCTATACACAACAAGATTAATCCTTATTTCTTGCAACTTTTCAGGTGGAAAATTGTGAAGAACGTCGACCGGTTTTGCTCCTGTAACTGAGTGAATATTTTTATTATATTTATAAGTAGCTAATTGCATTAGGTCCATAACTTCGACAATATTCTGTTGTGCTTTAACACATCAAGCTATTTCTAATAGTGTCGAATGAAATCCTTCGACTTGCCCATTACTTTCATTATGGAGGCTTGGTATGAAAAATTGTTCTAGTGAATAGTTGTCTATTAACAGAGATTTTATCACATTAGCTTTTTTCGTTGTTTGTAACTATTGTGTTTGTATTTGGAAATATTGCTAAAATTTCCAACAAGGCATTTTTTATATAAATCGTTGTTCTAGATGTGATAGGTTTGACTATAGCAAACTTAGAAAATTTATCAATGGTTGTTAAAGAAAGCTTTTTCTCCGTTATTATAATATCCAGATGAAGGATTTCACCTGATAAATTCAGGATAGATAATTTACCTATTTCTGATTTAGGTGGTTTTCTTTGATATTTATTTTCTTAACAAACTTTACAGTTTTCAATTACTGATTTTATGATTTTCCTCATATTGGGGAAGTAGTATTCTGCTACAATTTGTTGAAAATTTTCTTGCAAAAAATGATGTGCACGTTTGTGCTCTGTGGCCACCGCTTCCAGTTGGTCATCCTTATTTAATAAATCGATTGCTAACTTTTCTGTATGAATTAATTTGTACCTTGTATCTTAGATCTGCTAACTGAATTCTGTTCGGGACTTTCCATGTGGATATATTGTAGTTGGATTTTTCTTTTTCTTGTTTTTAATATATTGAGCCGTTTGACAAGACGCTCAGAGACTAT